TTTCATTACGATCGTATTACGAACGGATATAACTTCTCGGCTAACTACTGCGATTTTCAAGACTGAGCCGGTATTCAAGGAAAATACCGCCTGCTGTAAAATATCACGCTAACAAGCGCGCCATTCTCGTTCTCGAATTGTAATCCAAGTTTTAATTTAATCTTACGACCAACTCGCGCGCGCCCCCTTCTCTCTTTTCCACTCCCTTCCTCCCGCCCCTTGTTCTAATGCATTATCTCAGCACTTCTGGAATTGTCCGCCCAATTTTCTAAGCCCCGGGGTTTAATCTACCTTTCCCTCTCCCCCTCTCCCTCGAGAGAAAACAAAAGTCTCAATCTTCTCACGGGCGGCTTCGTTTGAAAGTCCGCCCGAAATTCGAAAAACCACATATTGCGAATCGCGGAATTTACGCGCGTTATGCGAGTGTGTGTCGCGTGTCTTAACTATGTTGATATAAAATATTCAACGCGGATCTTCCAAATCTTTTCAGCCTTCACGACGAGACTAGCTGCGCGCGCTCTCTCTCTCTCTCTCTCTCTTTCCCGAATGCTCGCACAACCAGGAGGCGGTTGATCTAAAATGCCAAGTGCGACGAGAAGCACGATGTAGCTTCGGTGACGTTCCTCGCGCTGAAACGTGAACGTCGCGCGACAACGTTCTCGATTCCACGTACATTTTAGCGCCGTTACATCGTGCCAACACGCGAGCGACATGCTCGTACGTGATGATGTTACGTCGCCGCGCCGTCTCTCTATCTATATATCTCTCTCGCTCTGTCCTCCTCTTGCGCGTGTGTCTCATCGAGCTTTCGTCGAGACCCTTTGTGCGCACGCACGCAAAAGGGACTGATATCGTTTGCTGATCTCGTTTCCCGGCGAGTCGAGTCCAATTATTTGGACACTTTGTCGCGTTGCAACTACATTATTCTCCTCTCTGCCCGTCAATTGAAGGACGCTAGGAATCTCGACCCATATAACATCTCGGTCCGTCTTTCACAGAGAGACGACACGACAGGTGCTCGGCTCGTCTGTGTTTCTAACGAAGCTGTTTGTCTTGCGACGCGTGCGAATAATGCGAGCGGGTAAATATTTTAGCGCGCACACATTTTCTTATCGACAGACAGATCTTATCGCGCTGCTATTCTCTCTATGCATATGCGAGAGAGAATACGGAACATTTGCAAAAGAGAAGTTTTGTCTTTTCGTTGAAAAATCGTTCAAAACACAATAATAACACGTCGAATGCCACATACATTTGTAAGTGACGTTCTCGTTCAAGTAAAACAAGTTTTACAAAAACAATCTTTGGCAACAAGTTTTGGAGGATCAAACATATGTTTCGAATCAGCGAAGATCGATTCGGTCGTTCGAGTCAATGTGTCACGTGCGAAACATAATTGTTTATTTATTTAAAACGCGCGAATTTAACACACACAACAATTTGAATTGAATTCAATTTGAAAATGTTGAGAGCAACAATTTTCTTTGACATATCGCGCGAAACTAACGACGACGCGGATTTCTCGCAAGAAATATACGTCCGATTTTCGCCGGGACGCGCGCGTTCAGCGCGCGCGTGTTAAATAAATCGCTCGTTGAAAACTATGAAATCTCAAAGTGACAAGGGTGATAAATGTAAACCGGTCAGTTATCAAAGTTGCGCGTTGGAAATGAGCGCTATATGTTAAGAAAATTTCTCCGCCGCGAAGAACATACATTCGCTTGTCACGGATTCGGATAGCCGATTATTAATACTATATCCTCGATTCGCGTGAGTTGCTCGGATATGAATTCGTATGAGTAAAGTGCATTATATTATTAACCCGCTATGGGAACCGCAGCTGCGTATCGGCTACCTGTCAATGAATTATTCAACGAGCTGAAAAGGGTTGGTTAGATAAATAACAAATTTTATAAAAGTCGTATACTCTCTCTCTCTCTCTCTCTCTTTCTCTTTTGTTTTTTTGCGGCGTCACGTTCCTTTGTAAATTTGCAAACACACACGTTGGGACGCGGCGAACGAACAGTTTAACGATTTATGAAAATAATATCTCGATTGTTTTGCTCTGAATAAAAAAAAAAAAAAAAAAAAGTGTCGTACATGCGTTCTCATCTGCAGTAATCGTCGAAGTAATCGTCTGGGCCGCTATATATATCGCGTGTTCGTTAAACGTCCCGTCGTAAAACATATGACGAGAGAGGTCAGAATAAGTAATCGCACAATTTAAAATTCCATTTACCTTAATGAACTTGAAAGTTTTATCTTAAAAGCAGAGTTTAAGTTTATACTTGATCCAAAATGATGATGTAACGTCGGAATGACACAATTCTCTTAATTAATTTTGCAACATTACCGGTTTGAGATACATGTGTCGCTTAGGTTTCCATCGCGAACGTACTCTCTTACATTTGAAGATAATTAAGATCGTTATCGGCGAGAAATCAATCCTATATACATTTCATACGTCTTCGGTGGAAAGAAAATCGGAATTCAAACGCGAAGAAGCATCGCAAACGAATTGAGAACGAGAAGAGTCCCTTTACGAGCGCTTTCTCTCTCCCCTTTGGCGCGGCTTTCGATATTACCGTGAAAGATTCCGCAGCCGGTGGCATTTCGCGTGACTGGCACTGCGACTTGAGCAAAAAAGGAAAACGTAAAACAACGATACAGTTCTGGGAACAGAGGGAAGATGAAAGAAGTTGGTATCGAAGTATGAACGAAAAAAGAAAAAAAGAAAAAGAAAAATGAAAAATTCTTCAAGATATATGCAGGAGAGAAGCAAGAGGTGGAGAGAGGAGGAAACTCTCGATGAGTGGGAGTTTCTCTCCGACAATCAGAAGTCAATTCTTTCGAATGACGGTAAAAGTGGCTGTGTGTTGTAAAACGCGCAAAGAGAGTTATGATAATCGGTGATGGATATTCGCTCGGTGATGCATGTACGGACGAGATAAGAATTTATAGCGGGCTTAAAGCTGCTTCTTCTTCTCCCTCCTCTTTTCCGGGATATATCATGAAAAATCCGAAATTAATTACACGGGACGCGCGCCGGCTTTTTCAGAAAACCATGAAACGAAAACTCGTGAAAAGCTCACGATGAAAAAGCCCGGCCCGGGATTATCTCCGCTGAACGCAAACAGAGTAAATAATTAATCACCGTCCGCTAACCGCATAAAAGATAATTTACTTTCAGACGGGAAGAGGAGGGTGGAGGGGAGGGGAAGCTCTTGATATGTATCAGCGTGAACAAACCGCGCCGTGACGCGGAAAGAGTAGACGACGAGCTAAAAACTCGCCGTTTATTGAAATGCTCACATTCGCGACGAATACCGCCACCGATCGACTCTTGGACCCTTTCACGACCGAACGAACGTTGTATATGTTACACCAAACTATCCTCGTTTTTATTCGCTCATACCGATCGATGTGACGTTAGGACAAAGAGTAACATTCGACAGTTGTTTTTTTCATCTCTCGCCGTGCCGAGAGAGAGAAAGAGAGGGGAGGAAAAAAAGCAGAATATCTAAAAGAGCAGAAAGGGTGGAAAATAGCGACGAGGAAATCGCGGGCTCCAAGTGTTATATCGCGTTCCGCGGTTTCTCGATTTTTCCTCAAACTCACTCCTTTCGTACCGTCGTACCTATTTACCAACTCCCTCTACATTCTCGTCTCTCTCTGTTCTTTCTCGCGTTCTTACACTTCCGTGCATTTATTCTTTCTTTTCTCTTTTTTTTTTCTGCACCCCAGGGAAACACGAAGCATCTTCTTAGGGAAGATGGTGAAAGAAGCAGCTGTCTTATTCTGGCGCGGGTGTTCGACGACGCGGTTCGTCGATGCATACGGAGACAGGGACGACAATGGCAGCAGCGCTGCCGTTGTGCTGCTCTCGCTGTTTCTGATCTACTGATTGCTCGCCCACGCGATCCGACTGGGTAATACAGCGAGAGAATCCGCAGATTCCTTTGGGTTTGTCTCGACACAAGCTGCTTGTGTGTGTCGAAGTGACGCAAATCGCGGTTTTAACGCGAGCCAGAAAAAAAAATCACGGCTTTAACTAATTAATTAATATCGGAAACGTGAAATCTCTAAATACATGTGTTGTCACAATTGAAATAATCGCTCGTTTGCATTTCTTATCTCGCCTCAAGCAATGCGCTGTAAAATATTTTCGCGCGAATAAAAAACCACGCGAGATCTCAAAAAGTTTCGTCTCAATTTAGCGCGAGAGTTCTCTCTCGATTTCTCGAGATATGTACAAAAGTGCGCACTTAAAAAATGCAATTATTTTGAATACGAACTGAAAATATCATCAAGTTTTGCCGCGTCTTTTTTTTCTTACGGCTGGTTTAGCGATGCGCGCCACGACGGCAGATGTATTTTTTTTTTTTTTTTTTTTTTTTTTATCAGCGATGCTACAACGTATCCTCGTGAAATGAAAAGACTGCCGCAGGCGATGGAAAGGTAACCGTCACGGTTATTGATTTTCTGTTAACCGGCTATTTTGCCGAGAGAGAATTATCGCGAACGCATTTTCTACGTGTCGTTTGCTCCTACGTGGCGCGGCTGCAAAGCCACACGGAAGAATCCATGCACTTAACTGCGTATTTAAAGTTTTAACGTGAATCGTAGATGCCCACGTACATATGTTTGCACATTTGTTTCACAATGAGAAACGCATATATTTGCGCGTACACTGTCGAAATTTGTTTGCAAAATCGAATTTGAGAGAGATCGGTATATATTTTTCTCATAATTATTGAAAAAAATGCGCAAACACGCACACAGATAGATTTTCAACTCAACAGTATCAACACGCAATACACACGAGTAGATTTTCAACTCAATAATTTTTTTTTTGAACTTATATAAATGGTACTATCTTTTATCGCACAGTCTTCTGAATTTTTTTGGGGGATTTTTTGAGTATTTAAAGAGGGTAAAATGGGATTTACAATTCAAATTCTTCGTTCACCGTAACGTCGAAATCAATTTATTTTACTCACCAGTTTTAACCACGCGTTGGTCGTGAGTATTTGGTTCTTTTCATCCTGAAAAAAAAAAAAACCGTATCAGTATTATTTCACATATATACCTATATATATGCAATAAAAATTGATACGTGTGTACGTATTGTAGATACATATATAACGACATACACACACGATTCTCTAACAACTGGCAACTGCGTATAAACACATTTTGTTCAAAGAATAAACAACGCTATTGATATATCGATACACGTCTTCGAGCGTATGACATTATATCTTTATATCTTATTTACTGTTGACGGGCAAACTCTCGTATCGTTTCGCTCGATGCGAGTAAATAGTGTGCATACGATAAATATTTATTCACAAAATGAGATGCACGTGTGTGATTTGAATCTCGAATTGCTCGGTGGCGCGTATTGTGCTCGCGCAAAATTTCAGTTCACAATGTTGTAAAAAGATCAATTTGTATCCGTAATGTGTTTAACGCGCACGATATTAGGAGATGATTGAAAATAGATCTCTGATGCAGATATCCATCGCAGTTTTAAAAACAACTTAATGTACTTGAAATATTGTCGCGTGTAAAAAAAAAAACATTTGGAGTAAAAACAAAACTCGACTTCGCATTACAGTAAAATGCATTTGTCTCGCACGCGCTAACGATTTTTTATAGTGCAAAAAAAAAAAAAGGGAAACGACTGTTCTGTCTGTGTAACCGGATTGCGGACGCGTAAAACTCTCGCAATCATCGCGGTAAAGAAATCTGATGGACCGCGACAAAGGCAGAAGTAATATGATAGAAAAATATGAGGCGATCTCCAATAAGAATTCCCGTCAGGGAGAGAGAGAGAGAGAAAGAGGGAGAGATAGATAACCAATAACCGCAAATTGCCAGCTGCAAACAGTAGCCCGAACCGAGTCGACCGAAAAGAATTGTCTTCACTTGTCTGCCGTGTTATCGAGAATATCAACGTGATTGGAAAAACGGATTTATAAACTGAAAATTTGTCGCTGTCGATAGGCAAATCCCGTATTTTGATAGACAGTCGTATTAATCGAGATTGTTGATCGACAAATTTTGTAGCACTGTTGTGCATGCGTGAAATGAGATCAAATTGAATTGGTAAATAAATTTCTGAAAAGATCGAGAAGCAGCTTCTTTTTTTTTTTTATCTCAAAATATGTTTTTGTTCGCAGCAACGTCGAACAAAAAATATGGAATGCGGCTGTAGGCGCAGACGCGCGTTTCACATTGTTTTGTTAAATCGATTAAATTTTGTTACAATTCGACTGTAGACGGGCAATGGGTGCAACGGGCATTTTAGTCGTTTATATCACAACATCCATGATTCTCGAATAATTGCGTAGGTTAACGGTGGAAAATGAAAAAGGAAAACAATTTATAAAGTCACAAGTCAAACGCGCTCACAAGAAAAGTCAAATTGAAGTTAAATAAAATACAAAAAAAAAACAAAAAACAAAAAACAATTCCAGAATTTTGCTGTCTCTCTCCCTCTCTCTAAATTAAAAAAATTTTTTGCACATGTATAAAATCTGACGAAGTTTTCCGTGTGATAAAAGGGTGCACGTCCTACGCGTTTCTCTCGTAGCCATGCCTTTTCTCGGCGCACTTCCGCTTCCGCCACGTCGACTCTCTCTTTATATATGAGTAACACGGACGCGTTTTGTCATGGGCTGACCCCCATTGGTGCAACGTAATTGCATCTCGCGACAAAGACTGAAACCTTACGATATAGCGCGACGCTCATCAGCACTGTCAGCCCGACTGAACGTGAATGAAATTACGAGCGATGCCACGAATTAATTTGCGTCACATTGAGATGAAATGAAATATTATAATATATCACATAAATTATATTATACAGCAAGAACTTTCTTCGCGTATCAAATTACGACAAATAGACAAAATTCATAATAAACGCGATGGGGAAACGCGAGTTTGCTCGTTATAACGCGAATAAAAACAAACACACGCGAGATTTTTCAGTCAAGCCAATAATTTGTTTCCAAGACGTATGTGTGTTTTGTTTTCGTTTTTATAATACACACAATTTGTGGCGTGTGTTGTAACTGAGTGCTTTGTGTGATATTTTTCGTGTTACAAAAATGTCAGCGCGGGCATGGCAATCGATCATCCGCGCTGAGGCTCAGGAGCAAAATCGAATGAATAAAAAAGTGCGAATTTCACAACTCGCTTTTTCATCTAAAACAATGCGAAATTGGCACACGCACGGAATTTTCCAATTGTCGTGTCCACGTCGACAATTATTCAATGAACTTATTCGAAGACACGTGGCGATTTTTCTCGTCTCAACGTATAAGGCGAGAGAGTTTCGTTTCGCGAGCGACATAACGGCGGCTTATAACGACAAACCGCATTTATTGTATTTAGCGACAAATAACATTTTATCGCAAATCGAATTTTTGTTGAATTTATTTCTGCAAACACGTCACAGAGTGTTGCGAATAAGAGATTGTTCGCGTTACACGTTTACATTCGCGTGTAGTGCCGCGACAATTTATGCAGAAAGGTGAATCTTAATTAAAGACACGCAATTAATCAAGCTAATTAACGTCGCCAGGACAAACTGCATAAACATTGATTCGGAGCAAACGTGACCGTATCGAAACAATTTTTACAATGTACACGTTATGATTAATCGATGCGATTGCGCCGCAAAAAAACTTCACGACGCGCGCACATATTGGCCGCGCAATGTCCGAGTTGCATGTGTGCGTGCATTACGCGCGAGCAAAACCCTTGTAACCGGCAAACCGCGTTTGCAACATCGCTTTGCAATTTTCTCGTGTTTCGTGTTCTTCCGCATTTTAAAACGGGAAACAAAACAAAATCCGCGAATGCCTATAGTTACGTTTCCATTGTACTTTCATTTATTTGTTATTTAAAACTCGCGGTTTTCACGTAATCCTACGAACAAATAATTGTATATTGTACATCGTCGCAAACAAGCGAACAACGAAACAATGGAAGAACGGGATTTTTTTTTTTTTACACGGAATAGATACGTCTTGTTCGATCGCGGCAGTGCGACGGAACCAGAAGTGGTGCGAGTCGACGTTTCATCGGACACGAAGAAGAAAAAGAAGAAGAAGAAAAAGAAGAATAAAAGAAAGAACCGCGACCGAACGACCAAATATTTACGAGCCACCGTGAAACGTAAAAAAGTTTATAGCGCGCCGAGAAAGTTTAAGACGAAAATCAAATGAGTGATATCGTTACCCGCGATATTAGATATTATATCGCGGCGCGTATATTATCGGGGTGCGAAGAATATGGCAAAAACTGACTGTGATAAATAAAAGCGTATCGCTCGAGGTGAAAGTGCCATAAACTCGCGAAGAAAATTTTCTTTTTTTTTTTTTTCATTTCTTAACCCGACGACACACGTCACAGACATGCCGCGAGACAATCTCGTCAAAAAGTCCAATATACTCCGCGTAAATATTAATGGGGCATGTTTTACGAGACTTCTTGGCTTTTTTTTCTCAGTCCCCATTCAAAAAAAAAAATGCTATTAGTCTCGGTTTACTGCTTTTCGCGCGGCACAGAAAGTTTCCGTTGATCTTGTTTCGACGTCGCGTTTCTCTCCCGGCCGACATCGAGATCAAGTTGCCACTTTGAACTTTTTCACCTCTTTACGTGACCAATTAAAGGAACTTCGCTTTTACGAAAAGATCTCTCGCATTCCATTATACATCCCGCCTCCCAACTCGAGGCCGGGGATCGAATGAAAGTTTGAATTTAGGGCTCGGATGTATCAACGAAGAACTTTTTCGACCGGAGCACTCTCGTATTTATGGAGAATGCTATGTGTATATAAACTCTCGATGGAGAATTGGGATTACACCGTGCTTCGAAGCCAGTTTCGAAGTTGAAAAACTGACTGCTTAAATGTGTTTTTGCCCCGCCGCGCGATAACTTTTGTTCTCAAAAACGTTCGAAAGAAATTCAAATCGAAGTGTTCGATTTTCGCGCCGCCGTGAGGATTTATGCATTAATTCATTAAAGTCATGCCGAGTCGTTTTTGTCGTGTCGCAGATCGTAAGCTCGGAGAATAATAAGAAAAAACTAAACAGAGATGTCCATCCGTTTCCAGAGGCAACGATACTTTGAAAATGAAGACGGCAAAAAGCCCAAGTCAGCTTGAGAGATACGGCGACGCGGATGTAAAGACCGGCGAGCGGGAGATGTAATGGAATATGTTTTGCTACCAGAGAGAGAAAGAGAGAGAGAGAGTGAGTGAGAGAAAGGTCTCGTCCCGGAAACATCCGTCCTCTTAATGTCCAGAGCACGTAGCTTTTGTTTTTACTAGAAATGTGCAATATATCAGATTGCGCGAACTTTTAAAAAGAGAAGACGAGACCGCACGTAATCGCGACAAAGAAAGCGGGTAACATATAATGATGACACAATACCAAATAATACCAAATAATAAGACGAGATACACGGAGTTGTGTTATTCAGATAGAACTTTATCCTTTGTGAAAAATATATATGTATAAACACAAAGGAAGTTTTGACGATGTTTGTTGCGGAAAAATGTTTGTGTATTTGTTTTGTACAATAATTATATGCGCTTATCACACAGGAATGCTAACGTTACACTCGTTTACTTGAAATAAAAACTTGAGAAAATCCAAAGAATGTCGAGACAAACTTTATTTGTTAAGAAAAAAATTAAAGAGTCTGTGAAACGTAATCTCTATTATACGATCCTTGTTACGTGTAAAAGGTGAGTGAAGTATCAAGAAGGTTGGTGGCGTAATAAAGAGAGTCGGCGCGATATATTCCCTCGGATATGTTCCCTCGGTTGTTAACGCCGCCCCGTAAAAGTGTTTCGAGAAAAAAAAAACCATCTTCGATCGGAGTTTCGGTCTATATATATATATGCATGTATATTACATTGTTACCCTCTCCCCTCGTCCGCTCGGCAAACCGAAATGGATTGCGCGGAACAATAAACATTCCCCTCGTCAATTTGTAATTGTGATCGGGAAAAGAAAAAAAATCCTGCTCTCTTTCTCTCTCTCTCGGCGGTCGCGAATGCCAACTTTTAAGTTTTTCACTTGTTACATATTCGTTGAATATCGATCATTCGAAACTTGATTTATTACGCATCACGATAATGTGCTCGCAGGGAACTGGCATAGCGCGCGCTATCGAGTATTCTCTAATTGGCTCGCGGATATGATTCGATATTCCTGCAATTGCAAGGTTGATCGTTATACATATAATATGCGTGTATCAGAAAAATGCTGGAGCATAAAATGCTGATGTACATGACGTGTGTGTGTGTGTGTGTGTCGCTATCGATGAAAATTTAAATTTGCACGCGATTGTATTTGTACAGAAAGCTGGAGAGATAAAATTTCGCGACATTTGCCGAGCACGCGGAAAATATTATTCTGTTTCCCATCAGAAAGTGACGTGTGCGCTTCGGCTGATATTGCTCAAGTCTTTGTCGACGTGTATTTCAGATCGGATTACGTTTCCTCGTTTTTCTCTATGTATGTATGTGTGTGTGTGTATGTGTGTACGTGTGTACAATAAATTCGTCTACATACTACGTCCGCACAATATTTTCTACTTCTCGAGTATCAAGATAAGTTGTAAGTATTTTTCTCTCTTCCTGGAAATTTTATATTCCCGAAGTGACCATCCGCGTCCGATTTTATTCGAGCAGTTTTATCCGATTTTTAACCTTCCGATTGTTTATTCACGAACATGTTTGTATCTTTGCGATAACAAAATAAAAAAAAATATATATAATTGCTCTCGCTCTCCCGCTTTCCGGTTTTTTGTTCGTTTTTTTGTTTTTGCTTATCGAAACTGGAGTAACACGAACAATTTGATCACATCTTAATGTTCCATGGAACATTAACTTGCGAAAAAATTCAACGAGCGTTCTCCTCTTGAAACAATTAGCAAAACGGAAAATTTCCCTAAGTAGAAAAATTAACGGACGCGCGGTAGGAATTCTTTTTCTTTGTTTCGCCCGTTACTAAGCGCGCTCATTCGGATTTTTCTTTGAGAACCGGTTCCGCGCTTATGTATATCACGTTCATCGGGATTACGCTGTACATAATGTCGGTGGAAGTAAATAACCACGACGGGAAGAGCGAAGATGGAGAGAAAGAGAGAGAGAGAGAGAGAGTAATGCAATCTTGCTTCATTCGTTCACTGTTAACCGCGCTCTCATTTAGATAAGCTCCGATATTTTGACGTGCAAAAACTTGCGCGGCTAATCTTGGCGCGTTCCTTATCTCGAGAGTTCACACGAACAGGCGAATAGCAACGTTATAATGGAACCCTTAAGACCTCAAACATATTCACTACTATCAGCCTTAACTATATGCTTTGGGAGGCACAACTTTGGATGTTGTTAGAACCCCCTTAGCAGACTACCGTATTTAACTGCTCACAGTCAATGTCTTGCTCCAACTATCGTCGTAATACACGTGTTACATTTAATTTACATGTTATATTCAAGTGTTGTTTAATGCAACGATAAATCCGCCGAGAGAAATATCTTGTATAATTAATTAAATACAAAAAATATATAACTATTTAATTTTTTATAATATTAATAACTTAATTTCGTTATTCTCAAATCCGTATTATCATGCATTCTTTATCCCTTCAATGCCAGAAATGTTGGTTTTCTTTCCTGTCACGTGATCTTAGTCACATTTTTAAAGACACGTGACGTTTCTCTTTAAACGCTTGTATCTTTAAAACTACTGAAGACTTTTTCAATCTGTTTGTTTCTCAACGCAGAATCGTTCAACTTTTCGATTAAAAATGAGAAAGTGAAAAAATATTGTTTCTTGCGGAGATACTCAAACTTAAAGTCGCGTGGATCTCATAGACCCAGTCTGGACAATGTGTAGATCATGTGTTTTGTCTGGCACTGAAGGGTTAATATAAATAATATATTGTATATATATTATTTATGTTGTATATAATATATCGCTCTTTGCGACACTTATTTATTTGTCGGAAATGTACATGTAATTTGCAGGTTTATTTTTTTTTTTTCACATTTTGTTATTACGCGCAATAAAACAATTTATATATGCGCATTAGAGTGGTTCTTATTTACTTCTGGCAAAAATTTGTTTGAATGTTTTTCGCTTCGATATCTCCGCGATACCTCCGTAAATAATTTTAATTGCTAAAAAGATAATCCGTAAAAAAATTCAGCTCGATCGGATAAAGGAAAAAGGCGTCTCTGAGCCCTTAAACATAAAAAAAATTATTTTTGCAATTTAAATACTTTTTTTAATGTTTTTCCCTTATCCGATCGGGCTGGACTTTTTCACAGAGATTATCTTTTTAGCAATTTATAACCATTCTAGAGGGTGCCGCGAAAAAGAGTCGAAAATAAGAGTCACCCTAATGTATATGTTTAGATGTATAAAAGTAGATAAAATTTAAATATATATAAAATAAATAGATAAATATATTTAGATGTAGAAAATTCTACTTCTCATTAATCAATATTTAATACAGACTTACGAGACAGAGATTTCACGACTTACCACGTCGATGATTTGCTGCAACGTAATGCCGAACTTGACCTCCAGCGGTTCACTCTCATTCGCGACCGGTCGCTCCAAGGTGTTGTAATTTGACAGCAGGTGATTCAATAAGCGTTTCTCGTGGTACCCGCAAAGGCTTTCTGCGACAATGGAAGAGAAAAAAAAAACGAATGTCAGTCAGGAACTATAAATGTGTTATATTCCGGAGGGTATGAGAAAGGAGAGACACACACGTCATCATCGCGACCCTCGTCAAAGCGTATTTACAAACGGATACGCGGGAGGGGAAAATAAAAAAGAATTTCCATCCGACCTTGCTTTTCCGAAACGTAGAGAGACAGTGTAATTATTTTTGTCACAAGAACAAACGATTCTTGAAACACTTCCTTTGTTTTCGTTGCAGAGCGCGGAGCGCGCTTTTCAAACGACAACGTTGTTTTTAGCGCTCGTATATAAAGCTCTTTATTTCAAAAACAAACACATTACATAGATTGGCCGGTAATACGAACGTTATAAGGCGTTGTCAGTACATTTCTACCACGTGTATATAACTATCAGTATAATTGCTCGCAAATAGGATTAAATTGCGAAGTACGTTTGTGTCTCCCTTTTTCATTTTGCAATAAAATTCAATATCTGTGCACGCGCGCGCGCGCAAATAAATTCATAAGGGTTTTTTTTTTCTAAAACCTCCGCAAGAGTTTGCTGACTTGGGCAACCGACTTGGGCGCTAATCTTTGTGCGCCAGATGGACCAAATTAATGCACATCGTCAATTAAGTTGACAAGTTCGCAACACGCGTAAGCGTCGTCGACGGGAAGTTCGGTAACAAACTCCGAAGCTCCGTTCGGAGCTTGGCTCGACCTATCTCGCGTACTGTGTGTTTCGATCTATCGCAGTTAAACGAGGAGCGAGGCAAACTGCCTTAATCCTTTGACAAACCCGACGTATTCTCTTTCCCTCCTTCCCTCCTCCCACGAAGTCTAGGGGACCAAATTGTATTCGAGCACGTGCTGCTGCGGAACCGAGTTTAAGTTCCGTGTGCGACGCTCGCCGGGCGCCGAATACGAAATGCAACAGGACCGTGTCCAAAGGGAGAATAATGGCCGTCGGCTGGGCGGCTTCTGAATTCGGCGCACGTGCGACCATTGAGAACAAGCAAGAGGTATCGCGAGAGATTGCGACAAATACCTCTACCCGGCGTGCGCCTCGATACTCAAACTGTCATGAGGAGACGCACGATTTTCTATTGCCCGGATTCTTTTTCTTTCGCGGTCGTCTTTTTCTCTCTCCCTTTCCTCTATAGAAACATTAATATTCCGAGTTCGAGCGAAATATCAGAGGTCCGAACTTGTGCAAAATTTCTCAGTTTCACAGTATCAATCGCATTGCAAATTCCGCTACGTCTGATAATCACGTGCGCGCGTGCGCTTTACGCAACTCGAATTTTTCCGAAACTCGCGAAGTCGTTCGAATCGATCAAAGAAATTTCGTGCGTAATATGAAATACACCGTCTGAGAATGTTTACGTATAAATTTTTTGCGATAAAAAAGAATAAATTCAAATCGCTAATTGCATCCGATTGGAATGATGATACATCCGATCGCGTTACGATAATCCGATATATCGTCTACGATAATCTACGCTCACATCTATACTCGCGTCCTACGCTGCTAATGATTTTCGCGAGCGATCGTCACAAGGTATTTCCGAAACACACAAGAACGAAATCAATGCTATCGTTAATCAGATTAGTCGAATGTATTACGCGGGTATATCGATTCCGACGTTAATTTCTAGTTTATACACTGCGGGCATATCGCGTTGCGCGTTGATTAATCACCTTTGTAACGCCCCATCGTAGGGACGCATGGCGCGCGTTTGACTGTACGTGCCCTGTGTGTAAACAGGGTCGAATTATTAGAGCTGCAATTAATTATGTGGCGAAAAAAAAAAAAAGAAAAAAAGTAATTTACCATCGCGCATATTCCCAACGGGTCAACACTGAGCGATTTATCGGTTTCGCCCGCGAGCGGAAAAATATAAATCAAAGCGCTCGTTTAATTAGCCGCTTGTGACTGGTAACAAGCGGCAATTTGCGGAAAGGCGTGAGATGCGAAAAAAAAATTATAGACTCGACAATGCGTTATCGGCCGACGTTTCGCTTCGATTGACGAATTGAAAAAAATCGACGCTAACGTCAAAGAACAAACGTGTGTGTGTCACTTTTAGCGATTTCTCGCACGGAAGTAACTCGAGATTTGCAACTCAACTTCTTGCGAATGTGCGAGCAACGACGACGGCGGGCGAAACGGCAATGAGCAACTTCGTCGAAACGGCCATTTCCAAGCCGAATGCTTGAGAGACGATGGCAGTAATTAATGAGACGTGCGTAAAACCGGTGTGGAACTTGAGGAAAATTACGCTCGCAACTCTCGCGCGTTAACTTGCGTTAACGCGATTTCCACGGATGAAGAAGAGTACTGAAAACTTAGCGGAATGCGCCGCGCGTCTTGTAATTAGCGCCTTGTTTCATCGATAAATCACAAAGCTGGTTCGAATCGAGTTGTTCGTCTAATTAAATTTTTCGAAATAAAAAAGAAAGAAAAAAAACGCACGGTCGTTACGGCAATAGATCACAGATGTGTTGTTTACACTTGTGTTATTTAAACTTGTTATCTTTGTGTTTTTCATACGGACGAGTTCATATAACGCTGTGCTGTCTTTGCGCCGCGTTTCCAACTCGCCTTACGGTACATTTGCCCAACATCTGCATCGTACATGCCATTTGTATAACTTAATGACTTTACGTAATATCTCCCGGAAGCGTATAACGTATATGAATCTCACATTTCGAACGTAATATAAACTCGGTAACTTTGCCACGTATATTTTCACGTTACTTCCGATAAAGCTTCGTTATGTTAGTTTACCCACGGTGGACATTAAGCTGTTTTATCGCTTGAATTAAACTGCAGTCGAATTGTTAACGATGAGAAACAACAAGGCGCGCGAAAGGGGTTAGAGAACAACCGGGAGCGCGCGCACATGTTAATAACGAGGATTATCTTTGTGCATGCGTCTCTCTCTCTCTCTTTTCTCTCACACACACTAATAAATTTCTCAAATTCGACATCCCCAACCCGCGCGAGACAAGACGAGGGAAAAAGGAGAGAGAACGTTATCCGCGCGTTCCTCAAACGAGATAAAGCTGGAGCATTGTTATCATTATTTCAAAACCTGGCGGAGTAAACAATGCAACATTGTTGGGTTAAAAATTTGCCTCGGAGAGAAACAAAGGGCGATTTGACTCATTTTGAAATACGCTAGAGATGAGAAAATTTCAATATAAAAAAATAGCGGGTTCGTCATTTGTGGCTTTTCAACGCTGCGGAAGGTTTGCCTTGCTATTACCTGGTCTGTTCGAGAGGACGGGTCTTTTAATGATACCTTACAAAGGGCTGACAAAGGAGCTACGGTAGCTTCATTTAGCCGTCTGCGTCGATTTAGATTAATGAGACCGAGTTTGCAAGAGAAATCGGAAGAGAAAACAAAAGTGCGGTAAAGTAAAAGAGAGAAGGAGAGAGAGAGAGAGAGAAAGAGAGAGCGTGTGTATGTGTGTGTGTGTGTGTGTGTGTGTGTGAGCTTCAAGTATAGTCTGGTGTGATATAATAGGCGGTAAAACCCGTTTGGTCGTACGTGTCGAAATACACGCTGACATGAATGGGTAGCCAGATATCCTTTTCGTCGCTCTTGACGTCACCGTTGGCGAAGTACGTGAGCCCCGCAGAAAGTGCCGCTAGAGATAGCAGTCTTTGTAAGAAGAGATCATGTGCTTATCCACGCGCGCGCGCGTGTATGTATGTGTGTATACACACTTGGCACGTGCACATGCGATATTTTCTTTCTTATGTCATCGCTGACGATATGCAACAAAACTACAAGTTGCAACAAAAAACGATTGTTAATGTCCGATGCGCGCAAGAAAATACGAGTGTTAACATTGGGGGAAACAATCGAGTCAAATAAAAACAAATATTCAAACAAATACTTGAAGTATTGAAGACACACACACATACACACACACACACTTTGTAATGCTTTGAAAAACTACTTGGTTTAAATTTAACTAATTTGTTTGGCGTTAAATATGTTTTCATTCTGGTGACAATCAGAAAAAGAAGTCGAGAAAATGATTGAAGTAATGAAAAGAACAATTAAACTTTCATTCGGTCTCAATCTGTTTACACAATTCACGTTTGATAGGTAAAAATAATTAATCTCATACGCAATCTCCAAATCCGCGTTTGATCGCGTTCGATTTAAAATAAAATTTATCTCTCATCACATATCGCACGCACGCAGTGCTAACACGCGAGAGCGTGTGTACTGATATTATATTGCGAAAAAAAAAAACGTCGGATGTGTACATCGTTGAGAAAAAAAAAAAAAATTGATGCACTTTGAGAAACTTTTATAATCACATTGTCATTATCGTCACATTATCGTGGAGATTCTTTATAATCCTTTCTCATCCTTGTTGTATGGTTCAACCTCGAACGTGGCAACTTTCAATAAACTTATACACCGGGGGTAAATAGGATTACTTTTATAGAACACGCGCGCGACGTTAGGGGCGGCGAGTTTTTACAGCCCCCGACGTCATCCTCATCGTCTCGACCGGTTAAGTCTTCCAGAGGTGTCCGGCAGAATCCGCGCTATGAATGGCAGCCCTCTTGAATACCAACGTGTAAATTCGCCCACCCGTGAATTCACGCGTGGGCATCACACACGCCGCCCATAAGCTCTCTCTCTCTCTCTCATGCATGTGTGTGTGGTGAAATATACGTATATATATATGTAGATGTAGATATATCTACATTACAGGGAAATTCCTCTAACTGTGGGTCACGTGTGACCGACAGCTCGATTACCTCTCGCAGCCTCTAGCTTTTCGACATATCGCTCATAACACTAAACGGAATATTTCACACCTCCGCGCCTAGACTTGTGTTAGTGACAGTTTATTCTACGCGATGCACCGCGCGGGTGCGCTAATATGACATATATTTTTCTCATGAAAATACAGAATATCAAAACGCAAACACCGCGAACACGCACTAACTTCAAATAAAGCGG